GTGAAAAGTTACAAATTCATGGTTGCCTGTGCTGAGAAAAGAGAAGGTAGAAATGGAAGTACATGGAATGGATGGGATAACCCACCTATTTGAAGATTCTTGAATCTGTTCTCTACGGGATCATAAGAAACCAGAGAACCGATATTATACTGCAACAGAATCTCACCATTCTTCAGTGCACATATAACTTTCGGAAAGCTTCTTAATAAGCCAGAAGCATTAGTTAGCCAGCCACATCCAAAATAGGGATCAAAGGAGAATTGTTTTACCCAAGATTCCTTAACATGGTATTGCTTCATCACCCAGATATCAAAGGGCACAGTATCGACCAACCCAGCTGCCGATAGACACCCATTGAGCACGGAAAGACTGTAGCCACGTGACACAAGGCGTTGACAAGGTGGGTGCGGAATTTCTTCAAACACCTCATCTGCAAGGTCGAAGGAGATAATACTATAGATGGTACCAACAAGAATTATCCAATGCAGAGATCCTTCTACCAGAGCCTCAGGTGGTCTGAGTCCAACCGCGAACTGTGGAGGTGGAGGCGGACCTCTTGTCTTTCTCCACTCTGTTGTTCCTATGGTAAACACCTGAACCATTGATTCATTAACGGTTGCGAATCCTTCATTCGCTTCTTCCACAATTAGCTCCGGGTCTGCTACCATCGTGATCTTCCGGTAGTACACAATCCGGACCACTTTGAATTCTCCTGTCCTCGGATGAAACCCAAATCCATAAACTTCACTTTGATTCAGAAATCGGTTCGCTATTGGGACTCTCACAGCGTCTCCAACAAAGGGATTGTAAATTAGCAAACTGTGAGACACCGATGAACCACCGATTATGGGAAAGGATAAGCATAACAGCCCGTTACAAGAACCCACCAGTTTATTAACTTCGGAATGCTGTGGTGGGTCGATTTTGCGAACCCGTCTACCACAACCCTCTCTATCCACAAAATAGAGTTGCAAGGCCCAGGAGACAGGGTAATTGTAGTTGAACAGAATCAGACATGGGTCTGAGTTGCTTACCCTATTACGGAACATCGGAGGGAGCCTTGGATCGGCGATTAAATTACAGCCGGCATGGGAAGTGGTCTTGAAGTGGATCAGAGAGGTTAGCGGGAGTCTTGACAGGATTTCGAGCAGAATATCCGGTGGGAGAATATGAAGATCCGTCTGGACCATCGCTCTGTTCGAAGGATCATCTGCAAAGTTGATTCTTTTCTTCTCTCTTCCCTCTTCGGCATCCATGTTTGTGTGAAGAGAAAGGAAACGTGAATGATGGGAAACGTTGCGCGATCTTAGATACAGCGTCGCAGCCACAAATAGAAGATTGGAACTTTATTAGGTTAAAGCCAATCAACCTCCCTTTACTTTGTAATTTTGTTCGTTTTGATCCTCTTACTAAGGAATTGATTAGGATCGTCCTTCTGCAATCCCATTTGACCTCTTACAGTCGTCTCTCTACTTTGCAAAAAAATATTCATAGTCATCCTTATACTAACTTCGTCAAGAATTACAGTACAAATTTACATTTTCAAATGTATATGTAGATGCTCTATAGCTTGTTGTCCATAATAAATAATCTTTAGTTATAGTTTAAAAAATTATGTATCGATTATATATTGAAAAGCCAATGAGAATATTTAACAAAACTTGAAAAATATTTATTTAAAATTTTGTTAAAAGTCAATGAAAGTCAATTAGAGTATTTGATAAATTTTTATCTTACAAATTTAAAATTTTGTTAAAAAGAAACTCAAAAATTGGCATTTAAAGTGGTATTTGAGTAAGTTTTGAGAGAGTTACACATCTAAGTTTTTTCCAAACTTAAAGCCATCTTTAAAAGCTAATTTTTGATATTCTCTTCAACAAAATTTCAAATTTGTAAAAAAAAAAAAAATTATTTTTTTAAACTTTGCTAAATACCCTCAATATTATAATTCCTAGTGTTATTATGGATAAATAAATTCATTGCTTGCTTCTTATTGTCATAACCCTTCATATATTGATGGTAATTTCTTTAGCTCATTAATGATAGTATGTTGTTCAATGCTTTTGTTATGAATTTTTTTGCCAATTTGACAATTTTTCATGTAGGTGGAGTAAAATCATATATAGTTGATGTAAACCTGGAATACCACTGTAATAGCCTTCTCTTATTTGACATATAATATTTAATTATATGTTTTTACGATGACAATCACCATATACTTCCCGTATTTTACAAATCACACCATCAAATTCTCAATTTCTTAAGAACAATATTATAAGGTGAAATCTGTCAGTATTTTATTTAGTGTGAGTCACAACTTCAAGTAACTACAAAACATGATTAATTAATCAATACATAAACAATGGCAGCAGCCTGACTAAAGCAGATGAAATTATATATCCGTATACCAAAGAAGAGTTGTGAAGATTATTTCAAAGATTTCCTTTACTGAGAACAGAGTATGATGGAAATCAAAAGCTTGGAACCACTACGGGAGCCAGTTGATCTTTAGAGCCTTGAACCTGTTAGTTTTAGAATCATAAGACACCAGAGCTTTCTTGTTACACTCCAACACAATCTTCCCGTTCTTCAGGACACATAAAACACTAATGAATCTTCCCACCCAGCTCGAAGCAAAATCTCCAATCACAATTCCAAGGGGAGCATTATGAGACTTCTTACACTCCAACACAATCTCCCCGTTCTTCAGAACTCCTTTTGGAGAAAAAGGCAGATAATAGTCAGGTGGATCTCATTGCCATACAATAGAGGTCACCCATGATGGTGTAAATAACAAAACTGTTACTGATGCATTGATGATCAAAGATTCAACACAAACTAAAAACTGGTAGTAGAGGCTTACAGAAATGATTCACGAGAGAGAGTTAAAGTTGCAAATTCATGGTTGCCTTTGCTGAGAAAAGAGAGGGTAGAAAAGGAAGTGCCTGGAACGAATTGGGTAAGCCACTCTTTTGAAGAGTCTTGAATCTGTTCCCTACAGGATCATAAGAAACCAGAGCACTGTAATTATACTGCAACAGAATCTCACCATTCTTCATTGCACATATAACTTTCGGAAATCTTCTTAAGAAGCTTGGCCCTCCACTAGGAAAATAGGGATCAAAGGAGAATTGTTTTTCCCAGGATTCCTTAAAACGATATTGCTTCATCAACCAGATATCAAAATGCACAGCATCAACTAACCCAGCTGCCGATAGACACCCATTGAGCACGGAAAGATTGTAGCCACGTGACACAAGTCGTTGACAAGGTGGACGCGGAATTTCTTCGAACACCTCATCTGCAAGCTCGAAGGAGATAATACCGAAGATAGGATCGACTCCTCCCATCCCAACAACAGCCAGCCAATGGAGAGATCCTTCAACTAAAGCCTCAGGTGGTCCGAGTTCATCCGCCAATTGTGGAGGCGGAGCTCCTTTGTTTCTCCACTCTGTTGTTCCTACGGTAAACACCTGAACCGTTGATTCATAAACGGTGGCGAATTCTTCATCCACGTCTTCCACATCTAGCGCCGGGTCTACTACCTTCATGATCTTCTTGTGCCACACAATCCTGACCACTTTGAATTGTCCTGTCCTCGGATGAAACCCAAATCCAAAAACTTCAAGTTGATTCAGAAATCGGTTCGCTGGTGGGACTCTCACAGCGTCTCCAACAAAAGGATTGTAAATTAGCAGACTGTGAGGCACCGATGAACCACCGATTAAGGGAAAGGATAAGCATAACAGCCCGTTACAAGAACCCACCAGATTAGTAACTTCTGAATGCTGTGGTGAGTCGATTTTCCTAACCCTTCTACTACAACCCTCACTATCCACAAAATAGAGTTGCGAGGGCCCGCAGACAGGGAAATTGTACTCGAACAGAATCAGACATGGGTTTGAGTCGCTTAACCGGTTGTGGAACATCGGAGGAAGTCTTGAATCGGCAATTAAATCATAGCCGGCATGGGAAGTGGTCTTGAAGTAGATCAGAGAGGTGATCGGGAGTCTTGATAG